TGGGGCACGGGGTGGAGCCACAAGTGGCTCGTCTGGGGGGGGGGGGGGCTCCTGCCACTGTGCACCCCTGGGGGAGGATGGAGGGCAAGTGCCCCCACCCCACATCTGGATCTGTGTGCTTGGGACCGGGGGCAGCTCCAGGCTCTTCTTGGTGGTGGGGGTTAGACCAGGGCTAAGTGGAGGGGGGAGCTATGGGGTGGGCTACAGCCACCCCAAAACCATAACCCCCCCCTTCCCAGTGCTGCTGCTGCCCACCCCAAGTATAGCCCTAGCCCAGCCCCTTGCTGGGAAGAGGCTGGCACAGCCCCTAGCCCCGAGTCTGCATTGGGCAGCCTGCCTCCAACCCACACACAAATTCAGAGGGCACATGCTCCCCATACTGCCCCAGGAATGCACACAGCAGTGGAAACTCCCCCCTGCTCCCTGACAAGACACTCATGGCTCCATCCCACGCCACGCCCTGCCCTGGCTGGGCAGCGCCTGCCTCAGCCTCACTTCCTCCGTCACTGCGGGGACCTTGATCTGCCACCCCACCCCGATTTCCCTGCCCCCTAACCAATTTACCAGCTGGACACTGCTCTCCAAGCTGCTGGGCTTGCATATTGGCAATTTGATCGGTATCAGCCAATATGGCTTGTTAATAATCGGCCATTGGTATCAGCCCAGAAATCTTTATTGATGCACCCCTACCCAATACACAATGGATCCAGATTACAGCAGTGGCTCAGGCCACAAGTCAGGGGTGCTAGAGCATGCCTCCCTGCTCAGCTGGAGCAGACAGCGTGGGCCAAGACTATCCTGCCCACCCTGTGAGAGGGGCAGTTTGTGGGGGAGGTGCAAAGCATCCTGGGATGCTGGGGGACTGAGAGTTCACTTGAATCTGGAGGGGGTCTGGGACAGAAGTTCAATCAACCTATTTAACCTAAATCAGTTAAGTTTGATACTACATCCATCCAGGTTTATCTTAAACCAGTTTCAACCATTTTGAAAGTGGTTTATGTGCACTGAACTTCTTTTATGTTAGATTTGAACCAGTTTCTGATCAGTTATACGGGTTTGTGTGTAATGTCCGTCCCCTAGCCTTAGAAAAATCTTTTCTGTCTATGGCTGCAGTTATGTTGAAGAAATTCAGTTAGTATTCATTATCAAATATGTTTGTCAATATATTGGCCTATTTAGGAAGTAAGGTTTAAAGTCTCTGCAAGTTGCTTTTTATTAAATGACTGTATTAAATGCATTCTAGATAATAGCTGTCATTCAGATAGTGTGACACTTAATCTCCAAGGCCTCGTTCTGAATTTGAGCTTATTGTAGTTGCATTGGATTTTTCATTAGATGGTGATCCTTCACAAGTACATAAGGAATCTGTCTCAGGATTTTAAAACAAATGTGTCAGGTGTTGAATCACTCAAATGTAGAAGCTAGCAGCTTGGGGCTTCCTTATTTTGTTTAGCCTGAAGGCTTGCAATCAGAAATTCCTGATGGTCTTTAATATTGTCCCACCTAAATTCATCACCGTGATTACCAGTCTAGAGCCTTTCCTTGATTATCCGAAACCATAGGCTTCACCAAATAAATTACAGGAGACCGGATGAAAGTGTAATTTAAAGGGAAAATTGGATTTGGGGAAAAAGATGGGGAAAGTATAAAAAAATAAGACATTTGACTATAACAAAATTTACTTTCTCTTAAAAAAAAATAAATTTGCCTGGTAGAAGGGGCTGAAGGCTACTGAAACAAAACATCTTCATGTGGAAATTTAATTTTCTGTAGTTCTGGCTGTGCTCTTATGAAAATGTTTGTGCTTTGCAGGTCACATTCAGGAACATCTCCAGATAACGCTGCACCACCTCCACCCCCTCCCAGGCCTCATCCTTCGCATTCTCGATCATCTTCTTTAGATATGAATAGGTCATTCACAGTTACCCCGGGTAGGTCCTTATCAGTTCTCCTGTTTATCTTCTGTTCAATACATGTATACCTTAAACACCGGTGAATCTATTTTAAAAGTAGTGCTTTTAAATTGAAGAGCTAAAAGTGTTAAATTGTCATTATCCTTTGTATTAAATAAAATTGTGGCATATAAAGAGCAGTATAGTTCAGTGGATAAACATGGGAATTGGATCTAGTCATCTAGTTAAGTGCTGCATGTTTCAGTAACTTAAAAATTGAAAAAGGAGTTCTTGATAGATGCAGACCCATGAGAAGAGGCAATGAGATGCATAGCTTCCGAGTCAATGGTACAGCTAGCAGAAAAAAATGGTGTTTATAATACTGCAGAGCCAGTCAGTGCCTTCCAGCTTAGGATTTCAAATCACTGTGTAAAGTTGTTTAAATTCTTTTTTTTTTTTTTTTCTTTTTTTTTTT